AACACAGCAGCAGCCATGAAGTGATCACACTCGCCACCTCTTGCACCTCAAAAATAATAAGACCTCCCTGAAAATAAGGCCAAGATAAATTGCAGGCAATATACACTAGGTTAATCACATCACTTTTTAAAGAAACATAACTAAATGGCACAGAATCCACCTCCTCAGGCAAAACCCCATTATCCATTCTGCCAGAAAGCAAAGAAGAAAACATACTGAGCTCCTTTACACAATCATTTACAAGTTGCTGTTCTTTCTCTTCATAAGTAATGGTTTCAGTCTTCAGCTGGCAGGCCTGTTTACAATATCAAGAAATGAAAAACTCAGTTAAATTCAGTACTATTGCTATTTGATTTCTTATAATTTCATGTAGTGAACAGTTTTTCATAACAGTTCACAGTATTGAAGGAGCCAAAACTTTCAGCTTCCCCCTTTCCTCTACAAGTATAGTGAATTAATAACAAACTGTCACTAATGTTGAGAAGATAAAAAAAGAACTATATAAAAATAATTTCAAGACATTAGGGATAATTGAAATATAAAAATGTACAAGTAGTCCTCAAATTACAACCACAATTGAACCCAACATTTCTGTTGTAAAGTGAAACATTTGTTAAGTGAGTTTTGCCCCACTTTATAATTTCTCTTGCCACACTTGATAAGCAAATTACTGCAGTTGTTAAATTAGTAACACTGTTGTTAAGTGAATCCAACTTCTGCTTTGACCTTGTCAGAAAGTTGCAAAAGGGAATTGAGTGACCCCGGGACACTGCAACTGTCATAACTATGAATCAGTTGCCAAGTGTCCAATATCAGACCTGGAAACAGTTAGAGGTGTTATTTGGAACCCTGACATGCAAATTTTGATCACATGAATGCGGGGCTGCTACAATGGTTGTAACTGGACAATGGTTGTAAGTCCCTTTGTTCAGTGCCATTGTAACTTCGAACGGTCACTAAATGATTAAATTCTATTACACAATTTTGCAAAGTGATCATGACATGATTATTCTAGACTTCATGATGACCAAACCATTTTGAAGGTTTCCCTAGGAACAAAACAATATGTTCCCTACAATATAGCAATACAATAGTAATAATTAAATGTACTACTCAATATCAGTCAATGCAATGATACAGGTAGTCCTTGACTTATGATCATTTGTTCAGTAACAGTTTGAAATTACTAACATGCTGAACCAAGTGACTTACAATTTGTGCCGATGAGGAGGCATCATTCTAACAGTTGTTCAGAAGGTTCCTATTCCAATTCACACAATTTGGAGGAGGAGCCTTCCAAATAATCACGAGAATAGTGTTCGCCTGCAAAATGGCACAGGGCAACCTAAGTCAGAAGATCATGCCTCACAGTATGTAGGGTGTGCCTATTAGCAGCTGCAGAAAAACCACAAAATAAGTGGGATAATTTGTGTAAAGTTGCAAGTGGGGCATCTTTATCTGGCCAAGGCCTCTCAGTTATGGTGATATTGATAGTGAGCCTGCTAGGCCATGGTAGGCTTCTGGGAACCAGTGGGCCCTATAGCTTGCTTAATTTCCCAGGGCCTCCTTGAGGCATCCCCAAATTTGTTACATTGGATTGTGTCTGATCACAATCAGAAGTGCCAAGATTACAGATGTTGAGCAAAGCGGACAGTAACATTTCACTTAACTACTGCTTTGCTCAATAACCAAGATTTTGGTCCCAATTGTGAGGAGGAGCCAATGTCGCGACAAGATGATTGTGTGGTCTCAATGCTCTGAGACCACAGCCAATACTTTTGCCACTGGGTGGTCCAAACAGACCTAAACCGTCCCGAAGAGACGGTGAACAGGAAGAATACGTCTTGCTGATCTCGGGGATATCGCAAAATCCTCGAAAGAAGCAAGAGAAGATCCACAAGCCGGGGACAAAAATTCCAGCCACAAGGCTGACAAAGTTGGGGCGGCCCAAAATGGAAGGATACGGAAAGAGAAAGTGT